CAACAACAACAACAACAATGGGAACAATTTGCAGCAACAGAACGAAATGCTTTCGTTTAACAAAAAAAAAAATCTATTGTTTTATAGAGGAAAGCGAAAAAACATTGTATATGGGTATAATTATTTACATACATATATAAACAATAAAGTGCAACGTCATCAAAGACTTAAAAAAAATCTAACAAAAAAATAAAACAGCAAACGAACTTGTAAAAAGTTGATAAAAAAGCCTGTTTCATTTATATGATTGAACCTTATAGTGTGGCTTCCGCCCTGGTAAGTCCACCATTGACCAGATTTTCACAGCATGTCAAATCCTGGAGAGGACACTAGATATGCAAAGCGACGCACACCGTCTTTTTGTCGATTGAAATCTGCTTTTGATAGCACAAAGAGAAGATGCATGTACGACGTCATGTTTAAATTTGGGATCCCCGCAAACCTATACCACTGTGTAGAGTGACGTCGACGTTTAGCTTCGTCCCAATTTGGGATAAGCCTCTCCGCGCCATTTGAGATGAAACGAGGTTTTAGTCAAGGCGATTCACTCGCGTGCGACTTTTTCTGTCTGAAGCTGTAAAACAGTGCCTGCTAAAGCAAAATAACCATGTTGCTGACGTATGCAGATGATATCGGCATCGTCCGTCTGAAACAAAGGGACGTAACCGCAGCATTTTCCAGTTTAGAATAAGAAGCTAAAGAGGTTGGTCTAGCGGTGAATGAAGACAAGACAAAGTACCTCCTTGAAACATATAAATAGTCCACGCGTTTCGGGACATACGTCACTGTTGTCAGCTATAACTATAACTTTGAAGAAGTGAAGGACTTTGTCTACCTAGGATCCAGCATAAACACCATCAACAACATCAGCCTGGAGATAAAGCGAAGAATTGCTCTTGCCAACAGCTGCTCCTCCGACGAACAAATATTACGGTCCTCAAGTCTGTCCTCATGCCTGTTCTTCTATATGGCGCAGAAACGTGGACGATGTCGAACAAAGATGTGAAAGCTTTGGGTGCTTTCGAGATAACTATTCTACGTAGGATCTACGGCCCTGCTCGCGTAGACGACGGGTATAGGTTAAGATGGAATGACGAACTGAATGAGCTTTTTAACAACTTGTCCATTGTTAAGCGCATAAAAATACATCGATTGAGCTGGCTTGAACGACCACTTAGAAAATGGAAGGATCAAGTTCAGAAGGACCTGTCTGTACTCGGGATGATCAATTGGCGCAAATTCGCACAGGAGAAAGGCATTTGGAGAAGCTTTTTAGTCTCGGCCCAAACCGACAATCGGCTGTTGTGCCAAATAAGAAGATGATGCGAGACTTCATTCCTTAGTTGCCTACTCATTGATAGACCAGGGATTGCTTAGGCATGTGAGCCCTTTCTTTCGGGTAGATCCCAACACGATAAAGGAAGCGATCAGAGAGGAAAATACCAATCTAATGGACGAACACCACGGGTCTTCGTCGTCACTAAAAGCTTACAAAGAGGTCACCTGGATTAAGAGCTTATGCTGACTATCTAGCCATACCTATCGCTGATGACAGAAATTCTCGAAAGAACGTTGAAAGATATCCCGACTAGACTGGATACATGGTGCTCGAAGTAAATCCAAAGGAAGACGGACTTGATACTTTTTACAAGAAAGTATAACATTCCACCACGGTCTACACCAGTGTTAAGGAATAGTACTTTGCCTCCGAAAACATTTACAAACTTTCTAAGAGTTATGGTGTGTATATACACAAAAAATATTGGAGGGTGTCAAAGGTTCGCAGAACTATATATAACTGGAACGTTGCGCACCACAGCAGCATTTCGTAAAATTCAAAACTTCTATTCCATAGACCTAACCGATAAATCAGACTATGTAGTTCCTATGGTCAGTTTTAGAAAGGTGACGTACGCAAGACGTCTTGAAGAAATGGCTTCCATCACTTACTTATGAACAGATCTAAGATGTGTGAGGGATTGAGAGAACATTGCTCTATTTTTCACAGTGAAAATTGGTAAGCCGTAGAGGTGAATTTTCAAATGACACAACGCTGCGGTTCTCCATTTCTTTTTCTGGTTTTCGATGTCTTAAATTTCGAGGTTACAAATGTTCTAATACCGAAAACTTTGGCCAGGTCCAAGACTAATGGGATGATTCTCTCAAAAGGTCGGTTAAAGCCACGACCTACATACATATTTGAGTGCTTATAGCATTAAGTGTTGTTGGTGGTTCTATGCAATTTGCGGTAGCCATGCTGATAATTCGCTGGGTCAAGTGGCACCTGTAGTTTGGGAGTAGGAAAACCGCAATACATAGTTTTTAATATCAGTCTGCTGGATTTTTCGTTGCCGATGGCCACTGGAACTTCGACGCTTGTGAAAGAAAAAAAGCACATTTGTGTGTGGCCACTATGTGTACCCAACAAAGGATCCAATACGCTTCAGTAAGAAATTGGGGTTGTTTTCCACCAAGCAATCGGATGGGTTGAAGCGAGCTGCTGCGGCAGGGATCTTACGGACGTCAGTTCATGTCGGAAGTCCCGCGGAACCAACGTCGACAGTGTTACTTTTTATGAAAGTCCAACACGTTCTACGCGAAGGGAGACTCTACCTACATCAAGCGTTCGGAGAAAAAAATGTCTGCAACATTTCAGAAGATTTTCAGTTAATCATCAGCAACATGTGTATCATCAAGAAGCAACAAGGCTGCATTAATACGAAGTTCGAACGCACCCTATTTCCATCTCTTGATCACAGCTATCAGCATTCCATGCCAACCCATAAAAACGGTTGTCGTTAATTTAGTTAGGAGTATTTTCGTCTGCCTTGGGAGGGTGGGAGGAGGGGTCAATCCGGGTGCTGAGGAATAAGTGAAGTTGCCTATATTTGCATTTGTTGTACTCGCTGCTATTGGGGGCTGCTGCTTGGTGATGCTCGTTGGCAGTGCCGCGCGGGACCATTTGTTTTGGATCGGATGCTGTACGTAAAATTAATTAAAACACAATTTCTTTAAATTGTTATTAACACAATAATGCTTGTTTTTTTTTTAATTCATAACTTTTTGCTTAATTCAAACTTTTAGCTTTATAACATAAGAAAATAAGTATTTTGTTTTTTTTTTCTTATTTTTTTACTTTTGATAGTTTATGCGATTTGCGAGAGGTTAGTAGCTTAACTTTCTTTTTTATATGCATGTGCGGATTTTTAAAAAGAATAATATCAAGAACAACAACAATGACAACACATTTATGACTATTGTACTCAAAAAACAATACAGAACGGGGTTTTCATTTTATTCACTGCAAGAGTCATACTCGCTTTCAGTTTGCCTTGTATTAGCATTAGTATTGTCATTGTCGCTGGTATTGTTATTAACGGTGTGCGAATTTAAAATTCTTTTCCTGCTATTCTCACTGCCGCCACACTTAGTTCTATAATTATGATCAGTAGTTTTACTACGTTTTAAGGCACCTGAATTATCAGTACTGTGCGTATTTTTTTGCTGCTGACTACAGGAACTCTCAGCATCAACAACATCCATGCTCGCACGAGTTTGGGTAATCAATTTCCATAGACGCACTTCTACGCCCAATCTGTAGGTGGTTAAGAGTTAATTAGAAATTATGGAAATATCAATAATTAAATACGTTTTGTTTACCTCAACTCCAGTCGCATCAAATCTAATTTTTCCATATTGAACACAAAATCTTCATAAGTGAAACCTTCATTAAGTATTATAGTCTGCGAAAATTCGTCAATGTCATGGTTGGTGAGCCACTGCGCCAGCTGCTCGTCAATTTCGCTAATACCATATGTACGTTTGTTTAAATTGCGATGGAAGTTGTGTTGTTTATGTGCAGTTGAACGGTTGGGACGCCGATGAAGCGTAGCAAACGGGCGCCTGCGAATAAGTTATGTAATGAAATGTGAACAACTGAATATGATACTAAGAACTTTTTTCTTATCATAAACGAAATTGCGTATAAACACTAGCTTCTAACAAACCTCGCTCTACGCCGTCCTGAATAGATGTGCGCCAATTCTTTGCTTATATTTTGTAATGCCTTCAGCTGCTGCTTCTGTTGTTCCAAGTGCTGACGTTGAAATTGCTTATCGTTGTCCTTCATGTCACGTAAAATGCGCACACATTCGCTCGGTGAAAAGCTACCATCATCCTCTTCAATCAATGCGGTGACTATAGTCTGTTCTCCAATAATCTTTTCCTGGCTATCAGTTGAGGTATGTTGCGGATTATGTACGCTTTCGTCGTCATTGCAGGATAGTTCCTTACCGGCTAAGTTGGCGCCAAGCTCTAAGAAACAAAAACAAAAAGGTTTAATCATACCAAATTAGTTTAAATCGAATATCTGCGCACACACCTGGAGACAGGATCGTTACGGCCGCCTGTACAGCACTTTTTACTAAATTATCCAATGCGAACATCCAATGTGGTTTGATGAAATGTGAACGCAATACTGTGACTACAGCATCTTGAAAAGCATACAATGCCAAGTGTAAATGATCCACGGCAACGTCGTCATTTAGCTTTTGCTTCAGTCCCATTATGGTAGCCTCTAAATTCTTTTCCTTCTCGTTAACAATATACTCGCGCAGCCCACGTATTAGAGTTTGCAACTCAGCTTTTGTTATTAGCACGCTGATTTTATGATCCGTTTGTATGCGATCCATCCACAAGTTACAAATTTTATCCTCATCCATTTTCAATACCTTTGACAAGGTGGTGCGACGCTGCGAATCTTTCTTCAAACGATAGAAGCCATCGGTTTCACTGGTTTCGCTGGGGTTAGTGCGCAGCGATGGTGTGGAAGCCTCGATTTCGGGTGACAGTAGAAAACCGGATGAGTTGCGACGCTCCAGTGCGAACTGTGTGCTAGGCAGCTCATCGATATCGACGGAAGACGAGTGAGTTATTCTGTGAAAGGCGGGAGAGTTCAAATATCGAATACCATGAGAGGGGGGAGAGTTTAATATCGAATACAAGAGCTATTGCACTTACTCCAGCTCAGGCGTGGTAGGCGTATTGCAAGTACCAGCGCTGATTGAACTCATGAGGGCAGGCAAGGTAGACTTATTTACTAAACGATCGGCAGGCACTGAGATGCTGCGTCCAAATTCCGATGAAGAAGGTGGATTCAAACGCAATTTGCGATGTTTGCTAAACGAGAATGCGTTATTGCAGCAAGAAAATACCAAATATTTGAACTTATCCCTCAACTTACTCATTCAAGAAGGGATCATCCAGCAATTGCGCCGCTGTCGGTCGGTCTAACACACTAATGGCAAAGCAGCGTAAAATGAAATTTCTCGCCATGGGCGACAATTCCTCTGGTATATTTGGATGTTTTTTGTAATAGCCCACTTTAAACATCGCTGCTTGCGCGCAACCCAACTCAATAAACGGCGGTTTACCCGTTGCCATTTCAACATTCGTACAACCGAATGACCATATATCGGCAGCGGGTCCATAACCACGAAAACCTTGGTCGATCACCTCAGGCGCCATATATTGCAGGGTGCCGGTGAAGGTCTCTGTCATGGGATTAATACCAGCTAAACGTTTTGATGTACCAAAGTCTGATATTTTCACCACACCACTGTAGGTATTCACTAATACATTATCGCCCTTTATATCACGATGCACAATTTTCTGTTCATGCAGATATTTTAGACCTTCGAGTATTTGTTTCGAGTAGAAAGCCATAGTGGACTCGTTATCCTTGAGTGGGCCCCACTTCTTTTCAAGTAGATCTGAGAGGGAGCCACCAGGCACTTGTTCCATGAAAATTTTGAAAAATCCATCCTCGGAGACAGAGCCCAAATACTGTAGCAAATCATGCACAGAGAGACATTGTTATTAAAGAAAAAAATTAAAAAAAATATTGGATATCTATTTACCTGCACAATATTGCGGTGACGTAGCTGGGAGTGTAATTTGATTTCTTCATGCAACGGTTGTACATCCTGTGAATTTCGCTCCGGCACTTCTTTTATGGCAATACGAACTTGCGTCTGTTTGTCGCGCGCTGCATAGACGGTGCCGTAGGTGCCTTTGCCAAGGATGATTTTACGATTTTGATCATCATAGTCGTATTCGTACTGTAGTAAAAAGAAATACAAATTTTAACAAACGTTGAAAATACGAATCGAGTAACTTTGAAAAAATTCATTACCTCAATTTGTCGCATTTCATCGACGTCCAAATTCACAAACACCTCCTGGTCCGATGCCATTTCCAATATTAACTCATAAAATTTTTGTCGACATTCCGTAGAGGGAAAATAAATTTGAAAATCGTCTGAATTGTGATGCACATATAGGTAGGCACAACGGTCGTCGCGCTTATACAAGCTCACAGACTTTATTTGCGAAGCAGTGAACACAAAATCATGTACTTTTTTGCAAGCGTTCTTCGAATGCGCCAAACAAATATTAATAATTTGTATAGATTTTTCATCAGCATCCATATTAATGTTGACATAACTAGGCATATAGATTTTTTGTGGTTCTAAAATCTAAGTTTAAAAAATAATCAGTTAATTTATATTCCGTTTATGTATGTTTTAACCAAAGCAAACTTACGAGTATCGGCATGCGTACACTGGTGATCTCCTCTGTATTGGTGGCTACCATGAAAAAATCCATCCAAAATTGAAAGATTTGCTCTTCCACAGAGTAAATGTGATCTTCGGGCTTCTTGCGAAATCGATGAATCAACAAAATATTGCCTATCGTTGACTTTAGATACCAATTAGGTGGCTTCAACTTAAACATACACTCTGCCGCCTGTATCGCTTTCGCATAATCCTCTGCGAGCACTGAAATTTCAAAGAAAGTCGCCACATCCCAATACTCAGTCAGTGACGACAAGCTGCCTTTTTTGCCAATCAAATTATTCAAGGTAATACCAATATTTTGCAACTCTTCTGTATTACTGAACTCCTTGCCATCAATTACGAGCAACGTAGCTAAATTAATGCCCGCATACTCATTAGGTTGCACTTCGAAACTTTGACGATACCATTTTATAGCATTTTTCAAACTATCTTTGTCCTCATAATCAGACTCCACAAATATATCCTTATAAATGCGACCACACAAACATAACATATCGGGAAACTCATTTTCCTTTTTCTCTAAAGCCTTCAACGATGAAGCAAGCGCCTTCTCACGATCACCCTTGCGGTTACGTCGATTTAAGGCGAAGGCGTAGAGAAAACTCATATTTCCGGTCTCAACGTATTTTCTGGTGTTCGGTATATTTCGTAGATCGCTCACCAAACGCACCATCGCATCATAATCTTGCACGTCACGCAATGAACACATAAAACTATGCACCACCTCACCGGATAGCACATGTACATCATCCAAACGCTTACGCATTTCATGCAGTATCTTTTGTAACCTCGAAGCATTGGCGCCATAAGTTTCACGCGCTGAACGCAGGTCTGCTAAGAATTTTTCTCGCATATGAGCTCTGTAACAAGAGTGAAAACAGGTAATGGGATATCTATCTTAAAGGCAAAACTATTTGAGGTTACATTACATACTTTGACTGAATTTCCACATCCTGCAGTAGACGCTTTAGGCGCGATAGTAGAGTGGGCATTTTCGTGTCTGCCGGCAGTTCTTTATTAAAATTGGTAAGATAGCAGGTGGAAGTCTCTTCGTTGCGTTTGTACGATAAAAATTGATAATTGGCACAGGAAAGCTGTAAAGAGTCGACAAGATAAATTATAGGTGAGATATGAGATAAGAAGACGGGTAAGAATTATGTGTGGAGAATGAGTTAGCGTAAAGGAGATACTCTGAAAAAAAAAATAGCCGCCTTCAATGCGCCGAGGACTGCAAATGTACCGAAAGTGTTCTATGCTGGAATCCCGACATGTATCGATTGTCAAAGCACTTACAAAGGAAGTCGATGACTCAAAAACGGAAATGACTGCTCGCTATCGGATATGAAGAAAAATCCAAATAGAAAAACAGCAGCGCCAAATAATTTGTAATTCGAATGCGAATTTCAGTTACGTTACCCAATTAATAAAGCCAAGCAAACAAAAAGAAAACGGGTAAAGCAAAATAAAAAAAAACACAAAAACCGTAAATACACATAAACTTGTAAAAGTAAACAAATGCGGAGGAAGTAACAAAACAAAAATGCAAGCAAAACAAACACGGTATACCCACATGAACTGACGCACACACACATAAAAATATGCAAACAAAAACAATAACAACAAAAACCGCAATGCAACAGCAAAAAATATTTAGTTATAAAGCGCCTAAGGCGTCTGTGTCGATTGATATGTATGTGCTGTTACAATCACAACAACAACAACAACAACATTTATATGTATGATATAGGTAACAACAACAAATAAAAATGCGAGCAAATATAAATTATAGACTAGAATAAAACGTTGGCGATCGTGGCAGATATTGTAGGGGGTGGAGCGGGTGTATTTTAGGTCCAGTAGCAATAATAAAAGATAAAGTTTACTGAAGCCAATTTAAATAGCAACAAAAACAATATTTGGTGTGCCTACACTAAATTCATATAACACACTCTTTTTTATTGCTGTTGTTTACTTAACGAACTGGTTGGCTACGCCAAATCCGTGGGCGTTCTGCTATTGCAGTAGGGAAGACGGCATAAAAGTATTGTATAACAATAAATAGCGAGGAATGTGCGCACTGTATTGTTCAACGCAGCGGCGGGCCGGAAGTGGATTACAGCGTGAAAGTTACATAATATTCGACTAGCAGCAATTATGTACATACATATGTACTTATAGCCAGCCAGTGGAGCCATAACTTTCCTGCAATTAGCAACGAATTGACTTTCCTACAGGTTCGGTGTTCTCCGCACACATAAGTACGCGCTAGAAGAGCCACACTCGAAGCAATGATTTGATAACGAGAGGAATGCAATAAAAATTATATATAAAAGGAATGTGTTTTATGCTGTCACTATTAATTTAATCAAAAAAGATATCAAAGGTTCCACAGCAAGCAAGAAGCTTTGATTATTCTTTCGCTTTCAATTGAATTGAATTTGATTGGTGATGCGCGTAGGAGAATTTCATTTCGATGCATTGAAGTGTGGTTAAATTGAACAGATGCGACAAGGTGTTTTGCGGTTAGCCAATGCCGCGCAACTAAGCAAAACCAATTATCTTATCGCTAACAGCATTACTAGCAACAAAGAAATTTAAAG